CCCGTCCTGTGTCTTAGCAGGAAATATTACTTAATTGGCAGGAAGAGAACTATGAAAAGGGGGGGGGGGGCTGGTGGCTCCTCATTCCTTCACCTTGAGACTTCGTCACTCGTCTCCGATAACCATGTAAACGTGCCGACCTTCACTTTCCATGTCTCCAACATCGCTCTTACTGAGCACCCTCTAGATCCTCTCATTACAGCTTCAAGTGTTTGTACTTCACCAATGGATTAATAATGATTTGGGCTAGATCTGTGACTTTTTACAATCAAATCTCTCCAGTCACCTCTCTTATTCTCTTGTAAATATCTCAAGTAATCATGTGTCATTTACCTGATACATACAGAAAAATCTATCTATCTCTGGCTTTCAACTAAGTGATTTATTGGCTTATGTAACTGATACCAGCTTCAGTTGAGGCTAGATCTACTGGCGAGATTTTTTTCCATCTAGCTGTTCTCTACAATGTCTGCATCATTCTAATGTGAACTCACCTTGTAGTTGAAAGAAGGCTAACACCAACCACATTGTTCCTCATCCTCAACCAGATTTCCCTCCTGTTGGGCCATCCGAGGTCCCTTGGCCACCTCTGAACCAGTGCTATGCCGGGGAAATTGGCTGGCTATGGACAGTCAGGGCCCACTCCTTAAGCTGGGTGTGGGACCCATGCTACCCAAACACAGGTCTGCTGCAAGGTGGGAGAGGGGTGACGTGGCTTCTGAGACGTCAACCAGCAAAGTTCACTGTAAGTGTTTGTAGAAGTGATTAGCCATGAACTAGTATTTAGAGAGCTATTGAATGTTGAGGGCCTGCCATGTGCCAATGCTATGTACCGGGTGCTTTTCCTGCATCATATTAGTCAATGCTCACAACAGCTCTGTGGAATGGGTATGGTCACCCTCATATTACCAATGCGTGACAATGAGGCTCAGAGATCATGAAACTCGTCCATGAGTTTCATGAAACTGACTATAAAGCCTGTGCGCTCTGGACCATACCGGATGGCATTTGGGTACATTTGAGAATGTGAAGATGTAGGGTGCTTCCTTGTCATCCACGGCAAGCAGCAGGTGTAATTCTGGAGGAAGAGTTAGGAATCTGGAGTTCAAGTGCTGGTGTGGCCACAGGATGATGCCAGGCACCCCTGCACCCCAGATCCCCCTGAGTCAGTGCATTGGGAATATTGGTCTTCCAAGATCTCTTCCAGCTCCCAAATTCTGTAAAGGTAAAAGCTGTGCAAAAGTATATGAACAATGCAGTTTGTCCCGTGGTGTGCCCAATTTTTAATGCTTGAATTGTAATTCTCCTTGGATTAAAGGCAATTAAAATCCAGATTTTATTTTTCTCTTCAGTGCTTCCTGTATTAGTACTAAAGTTCTATTTTTTTTTTTTTTAAGTCAGCCTGAATAAGTTAGAGTTCAGCCTCTAGTGTTGCCAGACCTTCTTAAAGTCTTCTTAGTAAACCGCTATGGCAAATTTTTTGCTAAAAATTCTTTGCAACCTTGTGTGTTTAGTGGCCTTTGGAGAGAGCAGAGACATGAAAACTGATTTGTGCAAATCGCATTTGAGCTCAGGTCAGGACCTGTAAAGGAACTGTGTGCTATGAATTGGTGAAATGTTAATTAACTAAAATTGAGAATCTGAAATATCTTTCCACTGACTTCAGATACATAATATATATGATCTTGGTAGGTCTAGAATGACTCTCAGAGTTGTAACCCAGCAGAAAGTTTATAGACATAAAATGCTTTGAAGCCTTTGGAAAAAATATATATTTATTGCCTCTGAGTCCTTCTTGGGACATGACAGAATGGTACCCATAACCCAGAATGTCTATAGACAGTGCCTAAACGTACACATTTTCTGGGCCATCAGTTCATTTTATCATCTGTCATTCTTTGTTGTTCTTGTTTGTTTCTTGCTTTTTTGTTTGTTTGTTTTTTGTATTGCAGTAACATTGGTTTATAACCTTATATAAATTTCAGATGTACATCATTATATTTCAATGTCTGTATAGATTACATCACGTTCACTGCCCAAAGACTAATTACAGTCCATCACCACACCTGTGTCTAATCATCCCTCTCGCCCCCTTCCGTCCCCCCTTCTCCTCTGGTAACCACCAATCCAAACTCTGTCTCTATGTGTTTGTTTTTTGTTGTTTTTATCTTATACTTATGAGTGAAATCATGTGGTATTTGACTTTCTCCCTCTGCCTTATTTTGCTTAGTGTAATACCCTCAAGGTCCATCCATTTTGTCACAAATGGCTGGATTTCATCGTTTCTTATGGCTGAGTAGTATTCCATTGTGTATATATACCGCATCTTCTTTATCCATTCGCCCCTGGATAGGCACTTAGGTTGCTTCCAAGTCTTGGCTATTGCAAATAATGCTGCAATGAACGTAAGGGTGCATGTATCTTTACACATTGGTGTTTTCATGTTCTTTGCATAAATATGCAGCAGTGGAATAGCTGGATCATATGGTAGTTCTAGTCTTAATTTTTTGAGGAATCTCCATACTTTTTTCCATAGCAGCTACACCAGTTTGCACTCCCACAAGCAGTGTATGAGAGTTCCCTTCTCTCCACATCCTCTCCAACACTTGTTTCCTGTCTTGTTAATTATAGCCATTCTGACGGGCATGAGGTGATATCTCATTGTAGTTTTGATTTCCATTTCCCTGATATTTATTATGTTGAACATCTTTGCATGTGCCTGTTGGCCATCTGTGTATCTTCTTTGGAGAAATGTCTGTTCAGATCTTTCGCCCATTTTTTAATTGGGTTAGTTTTTTTGTTGTTGAGATGTGTGAGTTCTTCATATATTTTGGAGATTAACCCCTTAACAGATATATGGTTTGCAAATATCTTCTCCCAATTCTTAGGTTGTCTTTTCATTTTGTTGATGGTTTCCTTTGCTGTGCAGAAGATTTTTAGTTTGATATAGTCCCATTTGCTTATTTTTTCTGTTGTTTCCCTTGCCTGGTGAGACATGGTATTTGAAAATATGCTGCTAAGACCAATGTTGCAGAGTGTACTGCCTATGTTTTCTTCTAGAAGTTTCATGGTTTCAGGTCTTACATTCAAGTCTTTAATCCATTTTGGGTTAATTTTTGTGTATGGTAATTTTGCGTATTTTGTGTATTTATGTTGTTTGTTTCTTGCCTTAAAATAACTTATCTTGAAGTCAAAGTGGAAAAGGTTATAAGAGGTAAACTACACAACATTAAAATGTGAAGTGTGTGTTGTGTGTTGTTAAGAATATTTTGGCATGCTCTTCTGCATTCTGTTGTGTGTTTCTAGTTGCAATTGTGTCCTTTGTTTCTTGTTTTGCTGTGGTAGATATTTATTGAGCTGCTAACATGAGGCAGGTACAGGCTCCATGCTTTGCTGATAATCCTAGGAGGTAGGTGGAAAAGATGAGAAACTGAGGCCCAGAGTGACTCTTTGATAAAGTCTTAAATATTATTATAGTCTCAAATATTGTTAAGATATGACTGGACCAAAATTCAAGAGAAAAGATTGTTTGAAGCAGACTTTAGATATTTGTTCAGATAAGGTGATAGAATTTGGGACCACGGGTCATACAGTCTAATCCTGGAAGCCTCTCCAGGTCTCGGAGTAAATTGTCAAAGCTGAGTTGTGGCGCCATCTTGGATGACAGGGCTAGCCGCTACAAGATCAGATCTAGTTAACATAGGCGATGCCATCTCCTGAGAGCAAACCTGCTAGGACACAGCCTAGGTCACAGAGTCTCCTTGTAACCAGGAGACGACCCAACCAGCTTCCTAATTTACAGATGAGGAAACCCAGGTCCTGAGAAGTAAAAGAGTTTACCAAAGGTGCTATAACAAGGCAGTAGAGGAACTAGGCTGAGACCTCAGACTACTTATGGTAAGATTCCACAGCATGAAAGCATAAAAGAGTGGGTGTGTGTGTGGGAGTGTGTGTGTGTTTGTATAGTTTTAGCATTCGAGTTTTATGTGGTTGCCAGGAAAAGTTGGGGGAACCAATTTTTAAGGGCATTCACACTTTTGCTAGCAACACCCAATTGTGACTTGATGCTCCGCCATCTGTTTTGTGACCCGGAAGACTTACTTGCTTAGAAGAAAAGCAATGTCCTCTCATTTAAATTTCACATCTTTTTCTGCTGTGGCTTTAACTCACTGTAGAAAAGAATTGTAATTTGCTACCTCCCTAGTCATGAATACAGAGCTTTATACTCCAGAGAAATCAGGATAGCAAACAATTATTAGAGATTTCCTAGTATAAGAATGTCCTAGGCTGTGGGGCTCCCAAAATAAAACAGATAGACTCACTGCTGTTGAGGAGTTTCAATCTGATGGTTCTAATACTCACATTTTCTGATGAATGTGGTGATGGTTTCACCATTTCCAGATGAAAAAGTTGCCAAAGAATGTTTAGGAATTGACTTCCAGTCATACAGCAAGTAGCGAAGCTAGGATCTGCACGTAGACCTGCCTGAATCCAAAACTGTGCTCTTAACCATTGCTGTATGCTTAATTCCAGCTCTCTGAGTATCCATAGCTAAAATATGTCTGGGTGTGACCAGTTTTATGTGGATTAAAACCGCTTGGGATTGAAGATGCCAGTTTGTCTAGTCTGGCCTCTTCAAGGCTGGGCAATGCTGGGCCCGCGACACCTTTTCCTGGGGCTGCTGCTCCAATGGCAGCCAGTTAATGCTGTGCCCAGGTGTCCCCGTCACAGTCCTGGGTTGGTGCTTGCCCCCTACTTCTTGTCTGAAAGAGCCCTCCAGTGGGAAAGTTGAGCTGGTTGGAGTAGCTGGCAGAGGAGGACAGCAATGTCCCTCTATTCCCCTCTCCGAATGTCCCTCACAGCAGGCCCCTCTGGTTGCCTTCCAAAGTCCTTCTCAAGTTCACCTCAAGTTTCTTTAGGGCAATTTTGTAGACAAGAAGGATTTTGCCGTTGCCAGCCTAGTGGGTGCATCTGTTCTGAAGCAGCCTGTGTTCCTACAGCAATCAAAGAGACCAAAGAAGCCCTGATGACTGTGAACAGTACCTTAGGACAGCTGAAAAAATCGACCACACAACTTAACACCAGCCTGAGTGACGTTAAAAGGAACCTGGAGCAATCACTCAATGACCCCATGTGCTCTGTACCTCCGGTAGCTACCACTTGCAACAACGTCAGAATGTCTCTAAGCCAGCTGGATGACAATACCAACTTGGGTCAGGTGAGGAGGGTGACCTTGCTACTGGGGAGTATCATTGGGACAGCTGGGCAGGGCTAAGTGTGGGTACACCTATCAGGGGCACAGTGGCCTGGGTCTCTGTCGGCCTTCCTGGTTATCCATTCACCACATTGGAATGGCCCCAGCAGGAGAGAAGGAACAACGGGAAACCCCTTCCTGAGAGTTCTCTGCAATTGGTTTGATGGTTCAGAATGAATTAAGCTTTAAAAAGAAAAAAGGAAGCAGAACGCATTTTTGTAGACCTTTAAAAATTAAAATATATTTTAAAATTATATGCCTAGTATATTAACCACAAATGCCTCAATATAAGGTAATTCCCCATATTCCCAAAGAGAAGATTAGAAAAAAAGAATTTGGAGCAAATTGAATATACAAAGTTATGGGATGTAGATAAAATAATCATGTCTACTCATGATTTTTAATTTATCAAGATAGTGATATATACACACCACATTTTATATAAAACAAAATTTTAGTATAGCTATATTTTTCTCACTCTCACACTTCATGAATCAATTTTTTTTTTTTTTTTGTGAGGAAGATTGTCCCTGAGCTAACATCTGATGCCAACCCTTCTCTTTTTGCTGAGGAGGATTGGCCCTTGGCTAACATCCGTGCCCATCTTCCTCTACTTTATTTATTTATTTATTTTTTTGTGAGGATGATCAGCCCTGAGCTAACATCCATGACAGTCCTCCTCTTTTTGCTGAGGAAGACTGGCCCTGGGCTAACATCCGTGCCTATCTTCCTCCACTTTGTGTGGGACGGCCGCCACAGCATGGCCTGACAAGCGGTGCGTCAGTGAGCGCCCGGGATCCGAACCTGGGCTGCCAGCAGCAGAGCATGCGCACTTAACCGCTATGCCACGGGGCTAGCCCCCATCTTCCTCTACTTTATATGGGACACCACCACAGCATGGCTTGACAAGCAGTGCATTGGTCCGTGCCCGGGATCCAAACCTGCGAACCCCAGGCCACTGAAGCAGGGCTTCGGAACTTAATCGCTATGCCACGGGGCCAGCCCCTCATGAATCAATTTTATTTAAATATTTCACATTCAACATCTGTGTCTGCATGTCTACTACAATCACTTTTATTATCATTGAACAGTTTTTTAGAGCCTATAATCTATACTTGCATTTAAACTGTTTGAGATCAAGTCCCTTTTGGGGTAACTTTTTATTTTGATGTACTTTTAAACGTGCAGAAATTTTGCAAGATTGGTACAAGGAACCCCTGTCTACACCCTTTACCCAAATTCACCAATTGTCAGCATTTTGCTCCATTTGCTTAATCATATCATTTTATCTGTTTATCTATTTATGTATCTATCATCTATTCATATTATCATGTGTGCATAAAATACTATGCATTTTGCTCTTTTCTTAATCATTTGTAGGTAAGTTGCAGACATTATACCCTTTTACCCCTAAATATTTCAGTGCATTTCCTAACTTTACATAATCTTGATGCAATTATCAAAATTAGGTCATATAACATTGACCCAATGCTACCATCTAATCCACAGTTTATATTCAGATTTTGCCGATTTTTCTAAAAATGCCTCCTACAACTGTTATTTCTTTTTCCCATCTAAGGTCCATTCCAGGATCAAACATGGTCTTCAGTTGTCATGTCTCTTTGTTCCTTTAATCTGGAACAGTTTCTCAGTCTTTTTCTTTTGTGACACTGACATTTTTGAAGACGACAGGCCATTTATTTTACAGAAAGACCTTCAATTTAGGTTTGTCTGATGTTCCCTCATGATTAGATTTGAGTTATGCATATTTGTCAGAAATATCACAAAAGTGATATTGTGTCCTTCTCGATACATCGTGTCAGGAGACCCATGATATTTGTCCCAGTGTCGGTAAGAGACAGAACACTTTAAATCCACGTATAATGCTGTAAATGAAAAATTATTCCAGACCACTCACCAATATAACCACTGACTATTACCTTTAAATATGTTTTTAAAAAAGTTGTTTACTACTTTATTCAACAATATTCAGTACCTGAAATTGTGAGTTCACACATATTCAATCTGTGTTAAATTTCTTTCCTTCATTTTTAGCTGACTGCAGCACGAAACCTTGAAACATGTAAAAATTAGTGCTTTTGTAGAGGCCATTCTGGGCTCAATGTGTTTTCCCCACAATACTCTTATCATTCGAAAGAAATTTAGATTATATCATATAATATAGAGACTTTGGGGCTTGGATATAAGATGATTCTTTGTTATGATACAATTTGTGAGTAACCACCTTGCCTTATATTTTGTTTTATACATTTTCAGCTTCCATCTTTGGATAAGGAAATTGATAATGTTAATGATGTTCTTCGGACAAATTTGTCCAGCCTGGTCCAACAGGTATGTTTTTTAGAAAAAATACAGTAGCTTATTTTACATCATTTTAAAGAGTAGAGTAGTACATAGGGAAAGAGGTAACAGCAAAAAAGCCGTGACATTCTGGAGAGGGGTTGCCAAGATGGGCGGTAACTGTTATCTGCCAGATAATTTCATTCATTTCAGTACAAGACATTTTTATTAAGCATCTATTGTGTGCAAAGCACCAGGCTAGGACCATAAGAGATAAAAACAAAAGCATGATCTCACCTTCCTGGGCTCAAAATTTGATGGATGTAGTGCTGGACCCCATATTGATTCTGTTTAAGATGTTCTCCCACTGTGCCTATGAGTCAGCCATGTTGGTTTTGTTTCTTCCCAATTCTATGCATTTGCACATGCTGTGCCCTGTGCCTGGCACTCTCTTCTTTCTCCCTCTCCGTGTTTAGCTATTTAGGCTACTAAGTACTAGCTACTTTGAGCTTTATATATCACTTTCTTAATGAGGCCTTTCCTGGGCATCTTGACCAGGTCAAAATCCTTTTTAATACATTCTTAGAGTCTTTGTTAATTTTCAATTAACTATAATTATTGTTTTAAAGTCTCGATTGTCTCACTGGCCTGTAAACTCTAAAAAAGGCAGGGACCACATTAGTCTAGAATACTGATGATTTCCCCAATAGCCTGCCAATTGTTGCTATTTATTCAACTAATATATTGAGTGCACAATAAGTATTTTTTTGTAGATTATGATTCAGCAAGAATGCTCTGGGCCTGTAGGAAAGGGAGAGAATAGTTTTATTCTTGACTTTATGTCTTTTAGCATGGGTGTAAAAAATTCATCAAATAGCTATTAAACACTCATTTACGTATACGGACAAAGTAAATGTCTTCTTAAACAAGGCATTAGAAACTCTTGGTCTTTACACTCTGGTGTCACTTCGTTTGTTAAATGAAGGAATTGAACCAGAAGATCTATTAGTCCCCTTCCAGCCATAAAACCTCTTACGATGGGTGACCTCCACAAGTCCAAATGCAGATAAATGTAGAGGGGTCAGATGTACAGAAAACCAATGCAAGCACTAGTGTGCTGGGTAGCTGAGTTGCCTTTGAGGAAACAAGTCATGGACTTTTTTTTTTTTTTAATTTTTTTTATTATTTTCCCCCAAAGCCCCAGTAGATAGTTGTATGTCATAGCTGCACATCCTTCTAGTTGCTGTACGTGGGACACAGCCTCAGCATGGCCGGAGAAGCGGTGCGTCGGTGCGCGCCCGGGATCTGAACCCGGGCCGCCAGGAGCGGAGCACGCGCACTTAACCGCTAGGCCACAGGGCCGGCCCTGGACGTTCTTTTTATGGCTTCAGTGTTGCTAGGCTAACGTGGAAACTTGCTGGCATCATAAATCTTACAAAGTTTGTATCTTAGATTGGACTGCTATAAAAGAACATCATAGATTGGGTGTCTTATAAACAACAGAAATTTATTTCTCACAGTTCTGGTGGCTAGTAGTCGGAGATCAGGGTGCCAGCAGGGTCGGGGTCTGGTGAGAGACCCCTTCCAGGTTGCAGAAGGCCGTTTTCTCATTACATTCTCACATAATGGAGAGAGCTCTCAGGGCTGCCTTTTATAAGGCCCTAATCCCATTCATGAGGACTCCACTCTCATGACCTAATCACCTCCCAAAGACCCCCCTCCTGATACCATCACATTGGGGGTTAGGATTTCAGCATATGCACAGACACAGACATTCAGTTCACAACAGGTTGTAATCACCATAGTGTTCCCTAGCAGATGGTTAAATAAACCAGCAGAGAGTTAAGAAACACAAATTAAACCCCTTCCAGAGGAAAGGCGAGATGTTTCATTGAGTTACTCGGAAACGATGACATTTGCCTGTCCTGAATTTAGCCCTAAAGTGATATAGGTTGCCATGGCTCTTTTTGTTTTCGTTTTAGCCTCCCTACAAATTGTAGTCTCTATAAGCTGTGTTTTAGGACATTATTGTTTTCTGTGAGACTAGATCTCCAATATAATTTTGGAATTGCATTGGAAAGTGATTCTGTTTTTAGAAATTCACTGCGCGTAGTACGTTGTACAGATCAGAGTTTCTTATCCTCAGCACTGCTGACAGTTTAGACTGTATAATTCTTTGTTGTTAGAGCTGTCCCGTGCATTGCAGGATATTTATCAGCATCCCTGGCCCCTGCCCACACAATGCCAGTAGCACTCCCACAATTGTGATAATGTCTCCAGATGTTGCCAAATGTCCCCTGGGGGAAAAAATTGCCCCTAATTGAGAAACATTGGTATAGATACATGTAAACTTTTAACATGAATTAAAAGTTAAAAATTAAAAACTTTTAACTGATCTTTGATGGATATAATCTAAAGAAGTTCCTCTCCAAAGGGGAATTCATGGGGGCTGGCCCCATGGCGTAGCGGTTAAGTGCGCGCGCTCGGCTGCTGGCGGCCCGGGTTCGGATCCCGGGCACACACCTGACGCACCGCTTGTCAGGCCATGCTGTGGCAGTGTTCCACATAAAGTGGAGGAAGATGGGCACAGATGTTAGCCCAGAGCCAGTCTTCCTCAGCAAAAAGAGGAGGATTGTCATGGATGTTAGCTCAGGGCTGATCTTCCTCACACACACACACACACACACACAGACACACACACACTGAATAAATAAATAAATAAAAAGGGGGAATTGTTTTTTTTTAGATTTATAATAACCATATAATAATTTCAGCCTTAAAGTGATTGTTACATTTTTATTTTGTTTCTCTACTCCATACTAAGCTGAAAAATAGTACTAGTTAACTAACCGCCCTTCTACTTACTATGTATATAATTTATTTTGAACTATTTTTTAGGGCTATAAATCCTTTAATGATATACCTGAGATGGTGCAAAACCAAACCACAGACATGATATCAGGTGAGACTCACAGTTCTAAGTAATTTTTATCTCTCCTTATTAAGAATTCGATGGTTAGTACAAAGAAATGTATTGTTAAGAATTTTGTTGTTCATTTTCCCTCTTAAAAAATATTGTCTCATTAAAACCTTGAATACTAAGGAATATCAGAGCTTTTCAATTGTGCCACCTTCACACGGTGATGTAGATTTAAATAAATAGTAATCCTCCTGTTGAACACTGATAAACATCATCCTGCTGGCCGGAAGCTGCGTGGTTGAGGGCCATACTGTAGAGACGAGGCCTCGTAGTGAGCTGTCAGAGCTCACAACAGCCAGAGTTTGGAAGGCCACAGTCTGATTCTTTTCACTGAGGGAAAAACTGTAGATTATCATATTTTCTAAAAGAACTTAACATTACTTTTTTTTAAAGAGTACTATGTGTAAGGACTCATTTTGTCTTTTTAGGAAGGTGTTCATCTGCCCTCTAGGTTGCTTACAGTTTTGGAGAGACAGAATTGATGTTGAGACAATTCTACTGGTCTTAAATGATTCAATCACGTTGTATTCAGGTTATGGTATTTGGGGTGAATGAAAGAATGCAGCATAAACAGCTCTTTGTGCAGGAATGGGGATAAACCTGGGTTATTTGCTAAGAGAAGAGATCTCTGAAGCTATGTAAGATGATCTTCTCTTTTTTTAAAAAAAAATCAACTTTTCTGTGCTTTTTATCTATTGACCAAGTGGTTTTAAAATGTTGTTAGAGGTATTTGATTTTTTTTTTCCTAATGGTGTTTTTTCAACCCATTAAGACTTGGGGTAAAAAATATTTTATCCTACTACACAGTGCTTTAGCTGTTTTGTGGGTTCTCTTTTATTTAATCTAAGATTCTACTTTAAAATATTAAGGTATTAAAGGTAAAGTTCACGCTTTCCTATTCTGGCACCTGAAGGCTAACTCACGCTTTATGCCTGAGAGCCACCTGCTTACTAATCTCTGTGTTTACTCTCTTTGTTTCTCCTTTCTGGACTTCTTCTGCCAATACGTGCAGCCCTCCCTTGTAAGTCTGGCAGAGCGAGGTGTGCAGCATGCGTGAGCAAGGCCCGTTGCACACAGTGTCATTGCCTAAACACAAGCCAGAGTTTTCCCAGGTCTGGGCGAGTGCCACTCCATCAGCCTGAGTATCAACTGTTTCTTTTCATGTCCTTCCAAAACAAATAAAAACCCTTAGCTCCCCTGTCTTGATCATTCGGTCCTATCCTGCACACGTATTTTGAGTGCCTACTGTGTGCCAGGCTCTGCTGGGCTCTGGGGATGGGAGATGAATAAGGCATGACCCCTGCCTACCATTCATCTAGGCATGTATACAGATGCCATTTACCACACACTGGTAAAGTGACAAGGTACATGTAAGGGAACTGAGGTGGAAAGGGGGTAGTGGAAGGCTTCCTGGAGGAAGTGACATCTAATCTGAGGCCTGCAGTAGGCATTCGCTGAGAGAGGGCACCAACCACATAGAATCACCAAAGCTGCAAGAGCGGAAACCTGGGTTGTGTGGGAGGGCAGGACAGCCTGAGAAGCAGAAGGGGCTGGATTCTGAGTTTAGGGAACTGTACATAGGAGACTGGGGAGTCTACACACCACATCTCTCAAACTCGCAGAAATCCCAGAATTAAAAAAGAGAGCCACTGAGTCCCTTGTCGAGGATCCTGGGGTCTTCAGCACACAAGCCTTATAGAGGAGGCATTGAGCCACTGCAGAATAACCGTATCCTCCTTTGAGCTCTCAAGATTTCATATCTATGTGAATAGCACACTTTGAAAAAGATTTCCAGCATTTTTATGTAATTATGTTTTGGACCACGCTACCATCTTCTTGAAGTTCACCAGGAGCCCCGGGATCGCACTGTGAGAACCGCTAATCTTGTCTCTTCTGCTGCAAAGACATTTATCTCCCTTTCTGCATCCATGGGTGTTTAACTGATTAGTATGTTCTTAGAATGTTCATGTCAAGAGTCACTGTGGAAAGCCAGCCTCAGACCTGTGTGAGCACTGGACCAAGTGACACCCCTCGCCCCAGGCACCTTTGATCCCAGAACCTGTCATAATACACAGACACTTTCCAGAAAACTGGAACTTATCTCCTCTCTGAAAGATTAGGATGGATATTAATAAAAACTGTTTAACCACTGGGAATACTATTATGTGTATAAGAGACACAGATGTACTTTTTTAATAAGCTTCAATTTCTATGAGTCAAATAAAATTTTAACAAAAATATCACCTGGGTTCATGTTCAAAAAATTAGTCCTGGAGAATTACTGTGTTCCTGAATGCCATTTCTTAGAGGGAGGAATTATTGTATTATCAATTTTTTTACCAAAATCATTTCACAGAAGCTTTAGAGTTAGATAAACCCAAGTTTCAATCCCACTTCTAGTGCTTTCTGAAAAAGAGACGTAGGGGCAAGTAATTTAACCTCTATGAGCCTCAAGATCACTGTTAGTAAAATGAGAATAAGAATATCTACCTCAGTGGAATAAATGAGCTAACCTTTTAAAAAGTGCCTGGCCCATGGTAGGCACACCATACATTTCAATCACCTGATCCATTTTTTTTTTTTTTTTTAAGTGAAGTAAGTAGAAGAAAACTCTGGCTTGATTTCAGCGCCATATCATTAAAGTCAGCGCTCGTAGCTTGCTGTTTTATTAAGTGATTGCTTTTTGATGGTCTTGGCTACGTTCATGCTTGTTGTAGAACATTTTCATATTTAAACACATACATAACATGGGAAAAATAAAGTGGTTCTAGCTTTTCAATTTGGTTCCAAAACAAAGTTTCTGTTTCCTCTAGGTTTGAAAATGCATAACTGAGGTATCTTTGTTTTCAGGTATCAAAAGTAGCTTGAATTCCATTGGTTCAAATATCAGTAATATAAGCCAACAGATTCCTATTCAGGATAAGCTGTCATATTTCATGAAGTACGTTAATATCACTGAAACTCACATCTACCGCAACTTACCTACATTGGAAGAATATGATTCATACAGGTGAGAGCCTCCTTTGAGCCGGTCAACTAGGAGAAGGAAGTTTGCTATGGAACGGGGTAAAAATTTGACATTATAAACCAGAGCAAATCTTTTGAGAGCAAATTGAACAAAGAGGCCATAAACTGATATGTGTTAACCCTAGTTTATGTTCGTTTAAAATGTTGAAGTGTTCGCTTTGGCAGCACGTGTACTAAAATTAGAACAACACAGAGAATAACGTGGCCTTGTGCAAGGATGACACACAAATTTGTGAAGGATTCCATTTTTTTTTTTTTATTTGAAGACTGGAAGTTGTTGAGCCAAATATTCAATAGTTTGCAATTTTGATGTTATTAGTGGCTTCTTGAATCTTAGTTATAATTATCTAAGGCTTGTTACAGGATTTTAAAGCTTAAAAGTAATTAAGAAGGGCATTTGGATAATTTTATTATTTATCTTGTGCTCTTGCATAATAAAAACCCAAATAGGAAGGAAAGTCTCGGGAATCTCCGTGGATTTGGGCAGTAAGAACGGTTCCAGAGGCAGGTCATAGTACTGAGCCTTTCAGAGAGAAGAGTGCTCCTTACATCTCACGTGATCCTCTAAATACCTCAAGTCTTAAGTCCTTTCCTCCCTGGCACTCTGAGATGTCCACCGTCATCTCCCAGAGCCAAACCCACCACCAGCATTTTCTTTTTTTTTATAATTTTATTTATTTATTTATTTTCCCCCCAAAGCCCCAGTAGATAGTTGTATGTCATAGCTGCACATCCTTCTAGTTGCTTGTCCCACGTATGTGGGACCTGGCCTCAGCATGGCCGGAGAAGCAGCGCGTCGGTGCGCGCCCGGGATCCGAACCCGGGCCGCCAGCAGCAGAGCGCGCGCACTTAACGGCTAAGCCACGGGGCCAGCCCCAGCATTTTCTAGTGAGGCACACAACAGCTGGGAACAACAGCTGCTTACCTGAGCTCTTTGAAAAATGTACTAGTTTCTAGGATGCTCTTTCTCTAAGAACTGACCTCTCCATGTTTATTTTATAAACCAATGAAGAAAAGAATATTATCCAAATGCTAGCATTTAGGGAACAGTTACAGTGTGCCCACCGAGTGCTGCACGCATGGCATCTCGTTTAATACTCAAAAATCCCCTGGGTTGTGTTCTGTTTATAACTGTTTCATAGACGAGGAAATTGAGGCTCGGGGGGGTGAAGGGACTTACTTAAGACCAGTGAGAACACGGCAAAGTTGGGTTTTCAATCCCCACCTGACTATGCCTGTAATTATTGCCCTGTAATCAACAAGCCATTTTCCCACCATGGGGCCACACCAGCAGGTGTAAGGACAAACATAAGACAGACCCTTTCTCAATGAACTTACAATCTCATTAGATGTCAGAGTTTCACAAATAGATAGAATGGTACAATTTTCTGTCTACGTCAGCTCCCCCTTCCTTTCACTTCACCCTGCCCTGAGACCATAAGCTTATTTTATCTTCTTTTTTTTTTTAATTGTTGTTTTAATAGTTTATAACATTGTGAAATTTGGGATTGTACATTTTTATTTGTCCATCACCATATATATGTCTCCCTTCACCCCTTGTGCCCACCCCCTACCCCCATTGCCCCTGGTAACCACAGTACAGTTTTCTCTGTCCATGTGTTGGTTTATATTCCACATATGAGTGAGAGCATACAATGTTTGTCTTTCTCTTTCTGGCTCCATAAGCTTATTTTAAAAAGAAATCTAGGGTCGGCCCTGTGGCTTAGCGGTTAAGTGCTCGTGCGTCGCTGCTGGCGGCCCGGGTTCGGATCCCCGGGGGCGCACCGACGCACCGCTTCTCTGGCCATGCTGAGGCCGCATCCCACATACAGCAACTAGAAGAATGTGCGAATATGACATACAACTATCTGCTGGGGCTTTGGGGGAAAAAATAAATAAATAAAAATTAAAAAAAAAAAAAAAAAAAAAATAAAAAAAAAAAAAAAAGAAAGAACTCTTTAAAAAAAAAAAAAAGAAATCTAACTGAGCAGACGAAGCATGCATTAACTATAAAAGATTTCTGAGCCCAGGTTCTGTGGTTTATTTAATTTTGTGTCCCCAGCATCTGGAACAAAACGCCACAGAATGGGTGCAGTTGGCTATTATTATAATTATCGAGATTGCTCTTAATTGAATGAAAAGCTTTAGTGGTGGCTTTTGTTGTAGAAGTAAATTCTTTATATTTTAGTATTTTAAAGATTGGGAAGCGTTTCTGCCCTTGAATGCTCCTCAGCTGCTGGAAAAGGGCGTTGTACATTCCGGGAATGCCAGTAAGACCTAATTGAGGATCCATTATCCTAAAATGTCTCCCAGGACCATTACAAAATTGAGATTTGCATTCTGCAGGCAGTTGATTTAGGATGCTCATAAAGTTCCAAAATATTCAATGCACTTGCCACATAGGGAGTGTCTGGTTCAGTAAAGAACACAATGCCCCCCAAACATTCCTGGAACTGCAAAATATTTTAGAGAAAGACCAGGGGAAAGAACTCAATGTTTCTTTATCTGCCGTCTTATCGTGATCTAGCCGCATCTCATCATCATTATGATAAGCACTTACAGCATCAGGAACTTTGAAAGAACTTAAAAGTCTTAAGGGGTATTTTTATCAATAGCCTTGGAGAAGTTAACTAAACTCTGCTTTTGAGCCCCATGGGAGCAAAGCAAAGAAAGGAAGAAATAATTTCACGACCAGTGAGTGAGAAAGCTTCACAACCAAGATAAAAATTAAAGTTTTTTATTGTTTGGATTGGAGGACTAGGGGTGGAAAGGGCTCTTTTCATGACAGTATCACCCTGAGGAATTAACGAAGGAAAAAGTCTGAGGTTTGATTGCAGGTATTACTCAACTGCTCCAGCCCCGATCCTACAGCTTTCGTGTTATGACAGTGTCACCTCTTTTATGTGGAATAACACTGTGCTTGCTTCACCAGGTGGCTGGGTGGCTTGGTTGTCTGCTGTTTGCTGACTCTCATCGTGATTTTTTTTTACCTTGGCTTACTGTGTGGCACGTTTGGCTATGACCAGAATGCCACCCCAACCAGACGAGGCTGCGTCTCAAACACCGGAGGCGTCTTCCTCATGGTGTGAGTGTTTGCTCTTCTTTGCCATATGCAGGGGTGGCAGGGCAGGGAGGAGAGCAGGTGGCTCTGGTGTCACGTGGACCCTGGGCCTCTGGGCCAAGCACTCTGGGTTCCAATGGAGTAGACGTCTTTGTAATTGTACTTACCTTGGTTTGGGAAATTCCACCAAGCATAAAAAGCAAAAGAAAATTCTAATTGGTTATACTTTGATAGACAAGCTTAAACACTGTTTATATATGGTGAGCTCCTCTTTAAAGCAACTATCATGGAAATTATTTCCAGGTTTACTTTCTCGATTCCCATTGTTTTTTACCTACATCCATCCATCCATCCATCCATCCATCCTTCCATCCTTCCATCCATCCGTCCATTCATTCATTCACCAGATACTTGCTGAGGACTGACCTGGTATCAGACACTGCTCTATATGGTCAGCTACCCTGTTCACTTTGAAACTCTAGAAGCTTGGTTTAGAACGGAGATTGCCAACCTAGCACCCTTGGGATTTAGACAAGTAGCCTCAGTTAGAGATGAGAGCAGGTGTGAGTACCAGCAAGGGGCAAGCCTGAGGCAGACTGGAGCAATTGTCCCTGTTTCAAGGACATTCATATCCAAGTTCATATTTTTGAAAAAAACCTTTACTCTACCAAGATGTGACAAAGCATAGAGGGCATGAGCTTGGTGTGACTGGAGATGTAGCCAGAAATGGGGGTAAAAGTTCCCCAGAGAGGAAGAGGTATGGGTTCCAAGTTGATATTCTCTTTTCTGATAAGCTCATCGAGAATCAGCAGTAGAGAGTGCGATGGGGCTCGAGGGGAAAGGTAAAGATCTGGAACAAGTGTTTTGGGCAATGGAGAAGCAAAACCTCAGCCACGTGCTCTCATTTCTCTCTTTATGTCACTAGTGCCAGGCTAGGAGAAGCTGGCGAGCAAGTGACATGCATTAACTTGCCTTTTTAAATATCGAGTCACTACAATAATTAATCAGACTTCTTATGAGCTGTGATTCTAAGGCCTTTCCCATAAGCCTTTAGGCTCCAGTGTAGTATAAGCCTTTATTAACATGAATGCAGGCAAAGAATCTTAAAAATAACCTTAAAGCTAATGACCTGGAAGTTTGCCAGAATTGGACAAAATTGAACAGACACATGGAAAAGCCTATTTGCCCACATGCCTAAACTTAACAAATTAAACCAGCAAGGAAGAGTATATGTGTCCTGCTTTTTTTGTTTAAATGTACACAGATACAGATAGAAAAGTAGTTTAGTGTTAAGAATTTAATAATCCTGATACTTGGCTGTTTTGTCAGTCTTTTGATGGTAAATTTATATATTGCATCTTTTTAACTGCTGGAAGGGAGGAGTAAATTTCTCTGAAAAGGTACACCTTTCATAAAATTCTACTCACACGTTTTTAGAGATGAAACCAAAAATGTGATACGTAACTTTAAAGAAAAAAGAAAGGGGAGTATGAACAAATTGATGGAGGCTGAAATCTCCTTCAGTTTGGATGTAATTCTCACTTCTGCTGCAGACTATGGAATCTCTAAGAGAGAAAGTCACATGGAAGCCTATGGCTTGGAGGTGACAGGGTTTATCTCAGCAGTAGGGAGAAGGCTGGTAACTGTAAGATGCTGTCAGATGCATCTCAGGTGGCCTGCAGACTGAGGGTGGCTATGTTTTCTGTGTGGTTGAAGCCCGCCACGGCATGCTCCACTTTGCTTGGCAAATTCTCCAGCTCTTGAGACATCTGGTAAAATGGGATAGTTGTAAAGGGGAAAAAGATACAAGTGTAGTCAGTCTAATTAGATTAATTAGAAGAATGAAATTTCTTCTTTAAAACTGTTTACTTGCTTGTAGAAACAAAGAAAGAGCATATTTAGTTCAGCTGCCACCAAAACACTACCTGCTCTTTAAAAACGTTGACACTGTCCAATCAAGAGCATGGTCCTCTCTGATCCTGTGTCTTCTGAGGGTCCAGGGGAACATTTTAGGGGCTGAATGGGATGCAGTGGGGACGTAGAGTTCCCCCGAGATAAGGGGACTAACTGCGGCAGCCAGGAGACAATCTCTCGTACTGAAGCCCATTACAAAACCTCCAGTTTTAGCTCCTGAAAACAATGCCCAGATTATCCAGACCTTTGAAGAAAAACTAATACCAGTGTTGCCACAGGTGTCACAAAATGGGCACACTGACATATGGCCGGTGGCAGTTTCAGAGGTTGTAGATATCTCAGAGAGCAGTTCGTCAGGCTGGCACAGGGCCATAAAGAGACCGTAATCCCCTTGGTCAAGTCATTCCCATCTTAGGGAATCTATTTTAAGGACATAACCAAACTATGGACAAAGCATCATGAGCGGAGACGTGTGTTTGCAGTTTTGCTTATATCAGTGAGGCACTGAAAATGACGAATTTCAGCTACTGAGGACTGGAGGTCCTGCGGCCGCTGAAATGGTAACCAGGTTGCCTATCCTGGATTGCTGGTCAAAGTTTCTAAGGTAGTACATTTGACCAGGGCTCACAAAATTATGCGTGGATTATCACATCCATGTAGATCAGGAGTCGGCAAACCTTGTTCTATAAAGGTCCAGATAGTGGATAATTTACTTTCCGCTGGTCACGTACAGTCTTTGTTGGATCTTATTCTTGCTCTTTTTCATCTTCTTTGGCTCCTTCTTGTTCTTGTTTTTCTTGTTCTTGTTTTTCTTGTTCGTGTTCTCTTCCTTCTCCTTCTTTACAACACTTTAGCCATTCTTATCTCACTGGCCTTACAAAAACAGGCCCTGGGCAGTTGTAGGCTCACCTCTTATCTAAATATATGCATATTTAGAAAACAAAGCTGGAAATGTTAACAGTATACTATTTAGAGAAGTAGTGTTGCTTTGAAATGTTCTATCATAGGTTTTGATAATTTTTATAACTCTAATGCACACACACACACACACACACAGACGCTCATGCACACAGTTAAAGCCCTGGTGGCTGGCATAGCCCTCACACACATTTCCCGTCTTTACACTCTCCCTAACTCAAAAGCCTTGTAGGTCAGAGAAGGTCAGGCTGACAGAAGGCCCCTCCAGGGAATATATCTAGCTATCTATTTCAGCAGAGCTATGCAAATATTTGTAATTATGCCTTGAGTATTTGCACTGGGGAGAATCATGCCCTTAGGAGGGTGAGCTGTTGTTATTGAGATCACTCCTGAGGATCATTCCTGGTGTGCGCCAGTGATGGTAGATGATTTGGCTCTTGCACCTGGATTGATTTAAGAGTTTGTTCTGGGCTGGCCCTGTGGCTTGGTGGTTAAGTGCGCGCGCTGCGATGCTGGTGGCCCGGGTTCGGATCCCGGGTGCGCATCGAGGCACCGCTTCTCCGTTCATCCTGAGGCCGAGTCCCACATACAGCAACTAGAAGGATGTGCAGCTACGACGTACAACTATCCACTGGGGCTTTGGGGGGAAAAAAAATAAAATAAATAAAATCTTTAAGAGTTTGTTCTCTCTGTGTCTACACCTGGGCAACTGAGCACTGCTGGAGAAGAGCCATACAACAAGGCACATTGGTATCCCTACAAAATTATGACCCCTCACCTCAGATGGACCCTCCAAAGCCTTGCAAATTCTTTCCTTCTTTCCTTCCTTCCTTTCTTTATTCCTTTCTTCCTTTAATTTGCAGTGGCTTTTTCCACTCTGATCCATCCATCCTCCTTATCTACCCCCTCCTTTAGGAGACGGCTTTACCGCCTTCTTCACAGAGGAAATAAATGCCATCATACAGCTTCCCACCACCAAACCTCCAAACACACCTGCTTTCACACACATGCAATGCCAGGTGCAGAGGGGTCTCCCATCTAGGCCTCTCCCACCCATCTGCTGTGTTCTCCATCCCATCCCTGCCCACCGTCCCGAGGATGTGATGGATCATCCTTTCTCTCTCCTGCGTCTTCATTCTTTTCCCCTCTCCTAGACTTTCTTCTCAACACTTAAACATGTTCTATTCTCTCGCCTCTTTAAAAATGAAAACAGAAAACCTGTACCAATACCACTTCTTCCCTCTAACTCCCCTCTCCACTCAGGCGCCTCAGAATCAAGATCTGTGTTTGCTGCCTCTGTTTTCTTATCCCCGACTTACTCCTCAACCCACTCTACTTTGACTTCCTCTCCTGTCTCTCCATTTCGAGGTCTACAGTGACCTCTATGTCTCCAATACAATGGACTTCTTTTATTCCTTCTCAAACGTGTCCTCTCAGCATTGCTTGGAGCAGCTGACGACTCCTCCCTCTGCAAACATTCTTTTGTCTCCCCTTCAGTGACATGATACCCTAATGGTTTCCTTCCTCCCTCTCTGACTCTTCATCTTGGTCTCGTTTGCCTACTGTCCTTCCACCACCTGTTCTTTAAGTGGTGAAGTCTCCCAGGCCCAGTCCTAGGCTGCTTCTCCCTCCAATCCCAGCCCCAGTGATCAATGGTCATTTCCAAGCTGCTGATTCCCTGATGCAGGCCTGTAACCCAAATGTCTGTGTTCCAAACATGGCTGACTCCTCTACAGCAACATGACCAAAATCCCATCTTCTCTTCCCTTCCAGAGCATCAGTGTTCCCTGTCCCTGCTAACAGCCCTGGCATCACCCTTGGCCCCTTCTTTTCCTTCATCTCTAGTGCACAACACTTCACCACATCCTACTGCATCTGCCTCCTGTGTCATATCTCTTTCATCTGCTGACTTCTCTCCACTGCCACCAGCCACTTCAGGACATGATCCCCGGCCAGATAACAGCATCCTCAGTGGTATCCCTGTCCACTTGTGCACCTGTCCATCGCATCCTTCACACTCTGCCAGGGGTGTTCTTCCCTTGGGTGGATAAATTGGGTTGTGTTCTTCCTGTGCTTAAAGTCTCTCCGTAGTTTCCCCTCCCTGGATCCGCTAGGCCCCATCCAGTTCACCCCTCCCTGCCTCACAAGCTGCCATTCACGCCACTCTTGGCCACCTCTGTGGATGCAGGGCCACGTTAGCCCCTTTCAGACTCCCAAGGGTATACTTCCTGCCTCAGAACCTCCCCACTCACTGTGTCCTCTGCAGAAAACATTTGTTCTCTCCACTGACTCCAGAGTCTGCACCATGAACCATGAACCAGAGTCTGAACTGACTCATGTCGGAACCACAGAGCTGGGCTGCAAGTAGCCCAGGGACTAAATCATAAGAGTTTCCTAAATATGTGCCTAGAACTGAAAGATCACAGTGCTTACCACTTTATGTCTTCACTCCTGGGGAGGCTGACCCGTTTAACCTGCAAAAAGCTGAAGACTACAGGTCCATTTAATACATTAAACAGGTAGAATTCATAAGTACTGGCAGGTAATATTAAATAATTCCTTGTAGAATTATTAACTTTATTTCTATTTTTTTTTGCCAGCGGGGTTGGCATAAGTTTTCTCTTTTGTTGGATATTGATGATCATCGTGGTTGTTACTTTTGTTGTCGGTGGAAATGTGGAAAAACTGGTCTGTGAACCTTACCAAAACAGGAAGTTATTCCAGGTAATTATGGTTTTTGTGCCCATGATGGAAGGGCTTGAGCAGAAACTTTGATTTCCCATATCTTGTGGGTTTCTTCAAGAGCAGTGCAAAAAGAGGAGCAGTTTGGCTTTTATTCAAGAAGTTGAGATTCCTTCTATTTGTCAGAGCAAAAAAATAAGGTATTCTTATTTTTTGAATGTAAATGAAACCAGTAGCAAAAATTAAGGCCTGCTCATCAATGTGGATTGTAACATGTTGGGAGAATAAAATTCTCCTCTGCAGTAGTTCTCAAATGTGGCTGAAAGCATCAGGTGATAAATTCCTGGGTTCCTCTGACACCCCAAGAGATTTCTGACATTTTAAAGAGTTTCCCAGATGACAGTTGCCACACAGATGGTTTGAGGCCCTAAATTTGATGAAAGAGACTGATAAATAACATACCTCATGGCAGAGGATCGTCCCTGGCGGAAAACCGACGAGGCAGTTAAGAATTGAATGTAATTCCCTGTAATACCATCTACTACAGATTCTAGGGGACCAGTTCACTGTTTAGTTTCATTAATTAATGAGAAAGTTTTTAGTCTATGTGTCTGTCTTCGCACTTTGGCTTTCCAGTGTTTTTCTCCAGATTCTGATTTTTTAGATGTATTTCTATTTTTCTGTTTTGTTGTATATATTTTTCCACCTCAAATCTGCTATGAAATCAGGTGAATGACTGCTAAGGTAACCAGTTGTTGTCATGGTATTTTAATTATTCAGTTGGTTGAGGAAAATTAAATTGGGAGCATCAAGTTGTCAAACTATCTCCATTTGATCTCTTGATCAAAAATAATACATCAAGCCAGACTTCATTATCTTCTATACTGTGTTGTCATTAAAAAGGAATTCTTAAAAAGTAGGGAATATTTCAAAACCATTTACACTCCTCAAGCATATATGGGTTGTGCACTAATTAGCCCTTAAATATGTTTGATGTGACATCAGAGAGTGTGCCCGTTTTAATTCATTTTGTCTAGAGAGAAGTAGTGAAGAGACGGGTCAACTGCTTCATGGCTTTCCATTAACTATTCTGAATCACATTGTCTATTTTCCTCCCACTTCTAATGTGTTTGTTTTACTAAAAAGAAGTATTCTCCAAAAAAGTAATTTCAATAATTCCTATTGATGCTACCCAGTGGTCGATCAATTTATTCCAATCACCCTATTATTTTCTAGGTTTAAGTTGAAAATCAATGAGGAAAATCATGGTATGAAAATCTCCAAAATATATTTAACAGAATATTCATTTTATTATGTGTATGTATGTTAGTAGAAAACTGTCTTTTTTTAAAAAACTTTTTTTATTTGTTCTAGATTTTGGACACACCATATCTACTCGATGAGAATTGGGAATACTATCTCTCTGGAATTGTATTTAACAAACCAGATATTAATCTCACTTTTGAACAAGTTTACAGGTATAAATAACAGCATTATGCATTTTTTGCTACTTAAGATGTTGTTTTTCCAGAATGAGATTTTGGTTTCAAAGCATCTTTAACATTAATGGTAAGACTTTCCAGTTTCAGAATTAAGCTGTTCTCTAGTCTTATCAAAGAGATGGTAGGATTAAGACCAAAAAGATAATCTTTCCTCTTAAAGTCTTCTAGACCTTGGAATGGTGATATCTGAAGGTCTGTCTGTCCAGTAATCACTAGGACTCACTGCTTAAGGTGACCCTAAGATGCATTAATGGGACCCTGTGAGAACTCTTGTTCAAGAATCACTCTGCCCCAAGTAAATGCCATATAACGAGAATTCAGCAGATAGGTCCAAATCACAGACAGGCAGATAGTGATGCAGCTAAAGGGCTGGGCTGTGCAGTCAGGCTGCCTGCGCTCCAGTCCTGGCTCTGCCTCTGGGGGCTTTGTGATCTTGGGCAGTGCCACGTCCTCTCTGTTCAATAGAGGTGATGACAATAGTAACCTAACCTACATTTTTAATGGCTCCCCATGGCCTTTGGCAGAGACAGCAAATGTGGTACACATGTCCACTCCCTTGCACCTTGCCCTCATGGCAGACCTTGGTAATCAGTTGTGGTCTTATACTTAGCCCAGAGAATCTCAAGATACTTCTCAATAGTATGTTCTAGGCAAACATTATCAATCCATTGTAGTTTCTGTGCCAATTAAACCATCCCTAGGCTGAGAGGACAAGGCCATTGTCTTGGCCTGACCTGTCAGCTCTTCGTGATTCTGGCTCCTGCAGAACTCCCCAGTCTTACCTCTGACTGTTAGTGTATCAAACTCCCTGTTCCAACAACACCAACCTACTTGGGGTTCCCCAGAGAGGAGTATCACACTTCCTAGGGCTGTGGGAACGTTGCCTCTCCCAGGCATCCCTCAAGACCAGAGGGCTCTGGCTGCTGGACAAGGAAGAGACGCCCCCACGAAGTGGCTGTCTTCGTGGCAGGGATATGCATCAGATGAGGCTGACCCTTCTTAGCTCAGTCAAGGAGGCATTTTTCACATTTTAGGGAAGCACGGAGAGGTGAGTCCCAGTTAGGTTTAGAGCTAAAGTGTGCTGACTGTCTGGGCGTTCGTAGCCCCTCCCTATCTCCATCCTGCCATTAGCATGTACATCCAAGCATACATTTAGTAAGTGAAACTCAACCTGGAAATATGGGGGGAGAAGGTCTGGCAGGGGCTTGATAGAATCTTTTAATAAAGCCCATGAAATGCTTTATAACCACTTCTTTCCATCAAGCGTTGTTTTGGGTTTTTTTAATGGGAATTTATTTCTTCCCAATTTGTAAACTTATTATCCCTCACAGCACTGGAAGGAGCACAGAGGAGACAGATAGAAGGACGTATTTACCAATCCTATTGTATCTGTTCCAAAAATAGGGCATTTGTAAGTGGAGACGCCATCAGGAATGGTGGGTGCCCGGGTGATTTGTGTGGCCACTGGGGACTGCCTACTGTGTCAACACCAGAAGCCGCTTCTATCTTCACAGATTAAACAAAGATAAACACTTAATCTCTCTCTCCATCCTTAGCAGTGGACAGAGGTAGCCACAGCTGCCTTTCTGGATCATGATTTCTCTGTTTATTCCCATAGTGACTGCAAAGAAAACAAAGGCATTTATACCACACTTAAGCTAGAGAACAGCTACAATATCAGTGAACATCTCAACATTCAAGACGTAAGTAATTAGAACCAATCGTGAAATTGACAGATTTCTCTACTAAATCCAATTGTCTTTCCTTTTCTTTTTAGAAGTGAAATTCACGTAAGATAAAATTAACCGTTTTAAAGTGACATTTAGTACATTCACAAGGTTGTGCAACCTTCACCTCTATCTAATTCGAAAACATTTTCGTCATCTCCCAGCCAGTTGTCTTTCTTGAGGCATGAGTTTCTCTAGTAGATTACACAAGATACTCTGAAGGGGCCTCACTGCAGACACTTCACAGGGAAAGATTTTATCTTGCTGAGCATCCACATTCCTAGAGGAACGAACTCCACCTGTTTCCCAGGGATGTTGGCTCTCCAAGACTGGCCACCTTTTTCTGTTAGGTCCCTGAAGAGGGAAGGAGGCCCCAAGAACTATGGCCCCCACAATCGTCACTCCTTGTGAATCACGACTGTGACCCCAGGACTCCAGGGTGGGCTCTGGTGGGGTCTGCTGGCCCTTGGCAAGAGACAGCATGGCAACAAGGATGGAAGTGGATGGAATGGAAGGACCTCCCCTCCTCCTTTGCCTGAGCCCACACCCAAGTCTTGAGTTTTAAGAATCTGAGGAGAGGCCACTCCAGAGTGCACTGGCTGGAAGAAGGAACAAGAGAGTTTTGAGCTGCCCAGGCCCAGGGTGCCTGTCTCCACTTGGCTGTCCCCACTCCCCCATGCCTGGATGTTTTCTGGTCTTGGCTGTGTAGGAAAAGATCTAAAAAGGCTTCTTTCTTCTGGGCTTCCAAAATGGAGGCAGATGCCAAGGGATGCAAAGGGAAGAGGTTGCTCCCCAAACGCCACCGCTTGCCCACTGAGGCATCACAGAAGGCTTCCTGAGGTACCGTGAGGCCATGACGGCTTGATGGTTTTCAAATGTGGAGAGGTTTATTTGAAAGCTGAATACAAATTTCGTATTAATTATCTTCCCTAAATAATCCTTGCGTGTATACATAAATAAAATCTAATTTTGTAACCAAGCCCTAGGGAGATGCCCTCTACTCATTTGCCCAACATACCATGTGTCATTTTCTCCGTGCACTATGATGAGTAGGGTTGGGAGCACCCGGGACCCTCAGGCACCACACGCTGCCTGAAACTACTGACTGCTCTTAGGGCAACCCCAAGTCACCAACCATGTTCCCATGATCTCGAGTCTCCCTACAACCCAAGTCTGTGCGTGCTGCCTCCTTCCCGTGGGATGCAGCCTGCCTGGCCCCTTTCAGCATCTCTGCTTGTCAAGACTCATGCAGAAGCCACCTCCTTTCTGTTGCCTTCTCCAGTCCCCTCCCTTGGAAAGCTCTCCCCCTCCCCTGGGGTCCTGATGCACTTCATGTGCCTTGATTATGACACTGCCTCTTCCCTTTGAGGTCCTGGAGGGTGGAGATGCAATATTATTTTGCTTTGCATCTCAGCTCCTCTCTTGGTGCTTGGTAGAGGGCAGAAGGAAGGAGGCAGGGAGACAGAGAAGGGGTGGAGGGGAGACAGACCACCAGGAAGGAATGCCAGTCAAGTGTCAAGTGTGTGTGGATTTTTTTTGTCCTGTGTAATGTTATTACTCTTTTAAAGCATTAAGTATGTGACATTCTTGGAGAAGACTAGGCTTATTTATAACTTTTCTTTTTGTCACATAGTATACCGGAAACATAAACAATGATTTTGAAAGTACAAATATAAATATTGACAATATCGTTCTGCTGGAAGAAGCAGGAAGAAACAACCTTCTGAATTTCAGTTCTTCGGGAATAGACAAAATAGATTATGATGGCTACTTGACTGAGGTATGACCCATGTATTCATGCTTGATCTTTTGGGGGGCAATTAGGGCATTGGATGGGTGTTTCTTTTTTGTTTTTTAATTGAGATGAGATTCACGTAACAAAAAATTAACTGGGTTAAAGTGAGCAATTCACTAGCATTTAGTATAATCACAGTGTTGCACAACTCCCACCTCTATCTAGTTCCAAATCTTCATCACCCCAAAAGAGAGCCCCGTCCCCGTTAAGCAGTTGCTCCCCATTCCCCCCTGCCAGGCCCTGGCAACCACCAGTCTATGTTCTGTTTCCATGAATTTACCTATTCTGGATATTTCATATAAATGGAATCATACAGTAGGGGACCTTTTGTGTCTGATGGCCTTCACTGGTCCCTTTCATGTAGCCTAAAGTTTTTGAGATTCATCGATGCTAAAGCATGTATCAGTACTTCATTTTTCTTTATGGTTGAATAATATAGTTAAATAAAAATAATATGGTTTTATATGTAGAAAAGAGAATGTAGATTTTGTCGTCTATGGAAGAGTTTCCAGCCTTACTTTATGGTTATGGAACATGTTCACTCTGTTGCCTATTAGATGTTGTTAAGGTTGAAAAATCCCGTATCTATAACCGTTTTTTTCACTTCTTTTGTAGTTTGGTAAAACTCCCACAAAAGTCAATCTTTTAGTATTTGCAGATGATCTGGAAGAAAAAGCCAACAATTTGGTGAGTTCAAACGGTGCAGTTAAATGTGGTAATCCTAGATGTCAAATGTCAATACTGTTCTTAGGGAAATGTGGAAGAGGTTCCTTACATCACAAGTCATCCCTTGTTTAAAAACGCCTCTCTTGTGCGTGTTAGAAGTTCCTATCTGCAGCCACCGATTGCCGTGTGGCCCAAAAGTCTGGGAGCCCGTGAATGTTTGCAGGCGGCTTCAGGGTGCCCGCAGCTGTTCCCAGCGTCTGCTCCTGGTGCTGGTGCTCTCACTGCTTTAGCACTGGATCTGCTTTCACCCCTGTCAGCCACACATGTCACCACTGCCAAACACACATGCACACATTTTTCCTGCAGTGTAGGGAATGGTAATTGAGGACGTGAGAGGGAGATTCCATTTGGTGCTTTGCATCGCCAATACTAAGGGAAGGCGAAGACACCAGGCAAGCTTCCCCTTCATCAGCTCCTCTGCTGGTTGGTGACTAAATAGCTGTAACTGGCCCCCTTCAAGAAGCAGCAGAGGGGCCGGCCCCGTGGCGTAGCGGTGAAGTGCGTGCTCCGCTGCTGGCGGCCCGGGTTCGGATCCCGGGCGCGCACCGACACACTGCTTGTCAGGCCATGCTGCGGCGGCGTCCCACGTAAAGTGGAGGAAGATGGGCACAGATGTTAGCCCAGGGCCAGTCTTCCTCAGCAAAAAGAGGAGGATTGGCATGGATGTTAGCTCAGGGCTGATCTTCCTCACCAAAAAAAAAAAAAAAAAAAAAAAAAACGAAGCAGCACAGCCTCGCGATGAGGGACCTGGGCTCTCAAGGAAGATTGGGATTTAAATCCTCACTCAGCCACTTCCTAAGTGTGGGAGCTTGGGAAAGATATTTCACCCCTCTGTGCCTTAGTTTCCTCATCTGTGAAATGGGGTCAATAGGATTGTTATACATCAATATACTAAACATTACTTAAGTGTGGGTTAAATAAAAATTTCTCAGTTGAGCTTTGCTTTTCTCATCTGTAAAATGGAGTATATCCACCGTAAAGCAACTTAACAGTGGCTCTATCATGGTGAGGCGAGAAAGAGAGAATGTAGCCTCTGGCACTCGGGAAGGGCTAATGAGTGGGTTATTGCTGAGTGTCCACGGCTCTGTGATTTGAAGTGGGGTGTCATGGCGCTGCCCCTCCCAGCCGGCCTCCATGCCCACAGCCGTCATGGTACGAGGAAGGCTTCATGCTGATGTCACGGCTGCCCTGCCGGGAGCTGCTGTGGGCAGAGAGCGTGCTCCAGAGTCTGGAAGATGGTGTTGATCTTTGTTTATTTTATTCTCCTTGTAGCCCCAAGGAAATTTGAAAGAGTCCCTGAAAAGTAATGCAGAAACTATTCGAACGATTCACCGTGGCCAAGTCGTTCCTTTGGAACAATCAATGGTAACAACCAACAACCTCTGGTATCTCACTGTGACCTGAGCAACATCCATTTTCCCTAACTGGCTTTCCTTGGGCCTAATGATACATTTGCATTCCACGAAGGCCAAATCTGATTGGCCTCGGGCTAAGAAACTGAGCTACTTTAAAAATAAATGATAGTAGCTGGGCTTTAAAGAAGACAAACTTTCAATTGCATCACTCCTTTTCTGCCTATTTCCTTGCCTTTTTCCATTTGAGTGTAAATAGTTAGATTAAATCTGTGGCTGCCTGACACACTTCACTCGAGATTTGTCACCTTTAACAGGCCCCCTAAGCCACACACTTAGCTGAAGTGCTGATGCTGTTGCTCTGAACTCACTCTTACTTATCCTCAAATGCTTTTTCTCCAAACCCTGCCAAGAAATATGTGAAGGCCAGGGTAAGTCCTTTTCTTTCTGCCTCCATTTAGCTCCGTTCTCTGTTCGGATGAGCGTGTTTCCTTTCTCCTCTCTTCCACCCTGTTGTCTGACTTTCCTTTCTTTTACTTCTTCCCACCTTCTGGCTTTCCTGATGCCTCCAGGGCAGTTTGTAGCAGAGAAAGAACGTGGGCTCCGGAGTCAGGCAGACCCGGTTTCAAATCCTGCTTCTGCCTCTCCCAAGTCTTGTAGCTTTCAGTTCCTCATTAAAAATGGTGGGAACAAATCCTACTGGCTTTTACCTGGTTCCTGGAGAAGGATCTGACGTCCCCGAGGGACTCTGTAAAAAGGAGGAATTATTATTATGCTTGTGTGGGGGTCATGTTTGCAGTTGTCAAGGGGAAGACTGTATGGAAACTGGGTCACACAGTCAGCTTGCTCCAGTTTGGAGAAGCATCTTAGTTCACTTGACTCCAACTTCAGAACCTTCCAGAACTAGTTTTAACCATCCCTCCCCCCCCCCTTTTTTTTTTTTGGTCTCCTGACTTTCTAATTCATGACAGTATTCATAAAGTCCTCCTACTTCCTATTGAATTTTCTTAATTTGTGTGCTGTACTCATGACAATTCTCTGCTGTACTTGTTTATGTCTAGCTCAAATTTGTTAATATTTTAAGCTGGTTTTTGCATGTTCTTTAAATGCTTTTTTTCAAGTAGACAGGGTTCCTAGGCCTTTTCATAGCTGAGGCAACCTGTGTACAAATAAGCAAGTCGTTCTGTACACGTGACCTACAGTCTAAACTGGGGGATAACAAACTACGACCCCAAAAACTATAGCCTATGGGCCAAATCTGGACTATTGCCTGTTTTTATAAATAAAGTTTTACTGGAACACAGCCACGCCCACTTATTTACAGATGATCTGTGGCTGCTTTTGGCTACAAGGGCAAAGTTGAGTAATTGGGTAAGAGTATGGCCCACAAAGCCTAAAATACTTACTATCTGGCCCTTAACCAATAAAGTTTGCAAATCTCTGATCTAGACCGTGCAGAGGAAGCCACTCTTGCTGGGCGGGCTCTATTTTAAGTAATGCCTGCCACTTTGAGCAAACCTGAGTCAAAGGGGTTTCTTGGATACCTTATATGTGATGTGCTGCTCTTTGAAGCTCTAGAACATGAATCCTGATTTTTCTCTTCAGGTTTCTCATACCAGAGCTATGTGAGGTGCACACTGTTACTTGCATCTGTTTTTTCTAGAATGAAAGTATTACAGAGTAAAATCGGATTTGATGGCTGACTTGGGAGAGGGAGGGGGGTCATAAGGCACGTGATCTTGCTGCTTCATGTAACAAGTTGGAAAATATTATGTATGTTTGTTCACCAGAACATGGCATACCAAAGCATCAAGGAACTTCAGCACAAAAGCAGCGAATTGGAGGTAAGGATTTGTTTTCTTTCTCTGTCACGGGGTCTTGTTATAAAAGCACACACATTAATCATGAACAGCTAATACAGTCGACCACAGGGGACTTCCTTGGGCCGCAAACATTCCCACAACAGAAACCAAGTTCCAAGGCTGTGTTGTATTCATCTTCTACCTGCAACGCCAACAGGCAACTCAGAAAACATTTCTTTATTGAGTGGAATAGACTGCCCAAGAGAGGTGTTGGTTGTCAACCCCACAACAGAAAACTACATTCTTCCCTTCACTTTTCTCAGAGCTCCCTTTGCTCACCTTCGTCACAGGAATTCTTGCCACACTTGACTGTCTTCCCCAGTGAACCGTGAGCTCCTTAAGTTAGAGTCCATTCGCAGTCCCTGGGCGGCACTCAGCCTGTTACTTTGTTGGCATACCAAGCTCCTGACTTAGTTCCTCTGAAGACTATTAGGTTTACTCTGCTCCGGGACCATTTCTCTACCTCTGATCACAGTTGCCACTTCACGAGTGTGTGTCCCCTGCCAAGGGAACCTGGAAACAGACTGTTGACTGTGACAGACTGTTGACTGTTTGCTATTCGTCCGCACCTTGACATTCAGGGCGCCAGTGTGCTGTCATGCGTTGCCTCCACAAGGGCCAGCCGTGGGCAGTGAGTGGGGGCAGAAATCAGCCCTTGACCCCCTGGCCAGGCTGTGTGCTCTGAGGTCTCTGGGCAGAAAGGGCACCTTTTCTAATTTGCGCTAAGCTGCCATGTGGGTTGGCAGTGACCTTGTCCTCATTTGTGTGACAGTGCAAAGAGTGTGGACTTGGGAGTGAACAAAACTAGGTGCAAATCCCAGGTCTTATGCTTTCCAGCTTGGTGACTACCTCCAAGGTAGTCAGCAACCTTACCTGTGAAGGGGCCTAACAATACTTCCTTTTGGCCTTGTGAGTATCCAATGAGGAGATTCAGACACAAGACCTAGCCCAGTGTCTGGCACAAAGGAAGTGCTTGATATGTGCTTGCCTCCTTCCCCCTGCCCTCACAGGACTGGGCTGGCCTGTCATCTCCTTAACTAGCAAGTTGTGGTGTGGGGTTGTGTTAACAGTACTTGTGTTGATATGCAAACTGTCCAATGAAATCCTTTATCACTTGACACCATATGATTGTTGCTCTGTTTCCAGGTGAAAGTGAACAAGATCCTCTCCTCTTTGGATTCTGCTGAGGGCTTCCTCACAAACTATACTTCCTCTGTTATTGTTGAAGTAAGTTTTCTTTTTTTAAATAGGTAGGCCAATAAGTGTGTGTGTGACCATAACTACATGATTAAATAGAGTAACATATGGTCATTTTAATATCTTTACTACTCTTTGATTTCTTTCCAGGAAAGTAAGAAGTATGCAAATACAATAATAGGATACTTTGAACGTTATCTGCAGTGGGTCAAGATCTCTGTAAGTAATTTGTCTTTTGTGAACATAAGGGGCCATGTGTTAGGATAGTCATTTTCTAGGATAAAATCAGGAGGAAATAAAAATAAATTCCTGGTGATTTGGTAGGAGATAAGGGCATGCCCTGGGCAGAACCGAGCCTGCTACATTTTTGGTGTATTAGTCAACTAGGGGTGGCTTAGACAACAAAAATTTATTGTATCACAGTTCTGGAGGCTGGAAGTCTGAGATCAAGGTGTCAGCAGGGTTGGTTTCTTCTGAGGCCTCTCTCCTTGGCTTGTAGATGGCCGCCTTCTCCCTGTGTCCTCACGTGGTCTTCCTTCTGTAGGTGTCTGTGTCCAAATTTCCTCTTCTTTTATGAAAACAACAGTCATATTGGATTAGGTCACACCTTAACGACCTCATTTTAACTGAATTGCCTCTTCAAAGACCCTATCTCCAAATGTGGTCACATTCTGAGGTACTGGGGTTAGGACTTTAACATATGGACTTTTGGGGACACAATTCAATCCATGACAGTTGAGTCTCCATGAAAGTATCAGAAGAGAAAATGGAGGAGCAGAGTGAAGTTTTCAGTGGTTTTAAAGCAGCACATTGCTCCCAACAACCAGCTTATGGAGAATATAGTATCTTGGAAAATGCCTTTTGTCATTTTGGGCTCTGGGCTGGCTGCCCTCTGAGGATTATTCCATTGGAGGGGATGCCTGCAGCTGAGTTACTTGGGTAGGTACAGCTAGCCAAGATGGGCTTCCTGACTAGACTCAGGAAAATTTAGGCTACCCCTGAGCGGCCATGAACTTCTCCACTCCTATTCCTGGCCCTTCACCGTGGGAGCCTAAACTGCCTGGCCATCTCATCCCTCTTTTCTGCCCCACCCCATATTCCAGCCACACTCAACTACTTGAGTCCCTGAAACTTACATTTCTCTGTGTGATCCCCTCTGTGTTGTATCCTCCTCCCCAGTTCGCACCTCCAGTCCCCACCATCTGGGCCATGTGCCTGGTTCTCCTTCAAGGCCCAGCTTCCTAATGTCTGTGCTGACACCTCCTCCCACTCTGCAGATGTGAAGACCTCAGGGTCTTCTCGGGGCTAGCACAAGAAGTACCTACATGGGTGAGTAGTGGCAGAGGAAATATGTTATCATCATCACCACCATTGCCACTGTGAGTTACCTGCACTAGACCAAGGACCACAGTTCAGTCACATTTATAGCCAGAATACAAAACAAACACCCTGGAACCAAAGCCAATCTGGACAGGAATGGTAAAGGCATACAGGAGCCACACCATGGGAATATTAGGTGGCCGTTAGTAAAAAATGTATTAGAGCTACACCACAGGACTCAGAGAGATTTTCGTAGGGTATAGACAAGAAAGAAAAGCAAGATGCAGAAAAACATACAGAACATGAGCCCTGCCCCACTTTTTGTGAAACTTACAGTGAAAAAGCCTATAAAGAGAATATATAGGGTTGTTTGAGCTTAGAGAAACATAAGGTTATTAACATGAGTTGCCTTATAAGGTATTGGTGGAAGAAAAGGGGAAGGTGAGCCAACCAATAAAGGAAAAGAAATAAGACACACTCCAGCCCAAAAAAGCTAGCATCCAGCTTACTTATACTTCAAAGTGTTCTTGACTGCGTGAATATAGCTTTCTTAAGTCAATGGGATTGGATCATCTTGTTTATTCTCACCTCGTTAATTAGTACAGTGTTTTCTGTCTTCTAAAATGGGATCAGCAGGTACTGCTGTTTCCGTAAATAAAACTTTATTGGCACACAGCCACTCCTATTTGTTTATATATCTTCTATGGATGTGTTCGCCCTACCATGGCAGAGTTGAGCAGGTGTGACAGACATGTCTCAGTCTGGCCTGCAAAGTCTAAGATATTTACTCTTGGCCCTTCATAGAAAAAGTTTGCCAACACTTGTTCTAAAATGTACACTTATGAATTAACTAACTTTCCATTTTCTTTCTACATTCTTGATCACAAAGTTGTCAGGCAAGAAATTCAGACCCAGACTGTGCTGTACACGTGTACTTTTTCATTCTCTCACGAGTCCAGTAGGATGGGTCTTATTGTTCCAAATAACAAACGACGGAACTGGAAACCGAGGCTCAGAGAGAATCAGGGTCTTGCTTTCAAGTAGATACTCTTATACATCGTAGAACTCGTCCACAGAAATCAGCTCTCAGCTCCTATCTTAGAGGGTATCGAGATGTGTTTTGTGAAAATGGGCCGAAGGTAGAAGGCATGTCTAATTCTTGTGGATTTTTTGTGGGTGTGGCTCAGCCAAAGTTTACCTGTTTCTTACCCCCATAGATCACTGAGCACATTGCAGCCTGCAAACCTGTGGCCACCGCTTTAGATTCTGCTGTTGACGTCTTTCTGTGTAGCTACATTATCGACCCCGTGGTAAGAATTTTATCTTTCAAAATAAGGAGACACAATAAACTCATCATCTTTGATTTTTTTTTCCAGATTGTAGTACACGTGGTAATATAAAATAGTTTTTTGCTTGGGTCTGTTATGGTTGTAGAATCCAAGACCCCAAATAAAATATAGATGAATGTGTTCTGATACCTAATAGACTAGAAAAGTCAAGGACCTAGGTGCATATCTTCATTCCTTACTAGAAATTATATTGACAGAAGTCAGGAAGCCCTCATGAAGAAAACTCCTGTTTGTCCAGAATAATTGGAAAGGAACAGTCCTTGGTGTGTAGATTGCTAATATTCAAAAGGATTCTTAGTGAAGCTATATATATATATA